CGAATGAAGTTGGTGATCTATCTTTTACAAGTTTTAGTTTCCGGATGCGTCGTGACCGGTTAACCGTTTTCGAAAGCACCAAGGGGCAAATATCTACGACATCCTTGGAGTTTACTGCCTATCTGTCCCGTCACGAGACCGGAGTTCCATGAAGACAGGCATTTCAATTCCGGGTACCGTTATTTCAGTTGCGCGCCGACAAAAAAGAGGGTTACACTTGAGGTAAATATTTAACATTGAGTGCACCGAATTTTTAAATGAGAATTGCTAATCAGATATTAACAACGAAATCTTGGTTGCTAACAGCAAAACAGTATCGTATACCATTTTTGTCAACTCAGAAACAACAAGTGTTCGTTTCGCTTAATAATGTTTATTTACCACTGTTTATTTGCGGAAAAAAGTCTTTGAAAACTTTCGAGATTAAATATTATGAAACATTCTTTTAATATGCGTTCTAAATTAATTGAAAAAGCGATGATGAACGGCCTGATCTGAAATAAATACAATAAGTTATTGAAAAGCCCTAAAGCTAGGGCTGTAATTGTAGTAATGCGAAGTTTAGTGATTTGGATAAAAAAAAGTGTAACACATCGGTGCCACGATGGCGCAATTTCAGTTTATAGTCTTTTTAGCTTGTGTACTAACACAAGATAACAAGATAATAACTTTAAATAAAGGTACATACATTCGTTTAAAGTTTGATATAAGCTGGAAACGTTCAGCACAAGTAATTCAATCATACCCCGCAAGGGAGGGTATTTCCTCCAGTACCCTACGTGCATGGCAAACACGCGGACCCTAGCCCTTTGTTAAACCTAGCACCTTCCTCCTTTCACTAAATGTATAACTATACCTACAACCCCTTGATTTCGCTAACATATAACATAACATTTCAGAAGTCAGTTGGAGACTATAATCGAATTTAGCTTTCAACCGATCAGATTTACCTATGTATTGGTGCTTGGTGCTTCAAAACGTATATTTCCGTAAAAAAACTGAGGGGTCATTTTTACCCCAATGCAACTCCCATACTAACGTGCGGGTGGTAAATAAGTATGAATGAAAAGACGTATCTATTTGGTATATTAGCTTGATATTTTCATTCATGATAGAACTCTAAAAAAATTTGGCGTAATTAAGTTAATATATGTTGATAATGAGTTATTAAAATCTTGATCTCGGTAGTTTCGGCGTGGACTCGCAAATAACACTCCTAACAATCTGTACGTGAACAAACGCGGTTTTTTTGAAAATTGCGCAACCGAAAACATAAAGCATAAAAAGAACAAGGGTAAACATAAAAGTGAAACTTATGATATTATTTGTTAGGAACTATAGGAGTGGTATGGGGTTAGTTTAGTACGAGATTCAGAATAGATGTAGTTGAATAATTAATAGAAAAATGTCCAGTGGAATTTTCAATCGTTAATAGACACATTAATTTCATTTATCCTAACTGTTGGTTTATTTTCTGCTATCAAGGAAGTCAGAAGTAAGCTAGAAAATTAAGTTTCCAGGTAAAAAGGGCTTGAAAATCTTGTTTAGTAGTGAACTATACCTACTGTATTCATTCTAAGAAGGTAGCGGTAGAAAGCATAGGGAAACTTTGACTTTCGGTGTGATTGGTTAAAACACGAGTCGGTATATACACTGAAACATAAAACGAGTATCGAATTTTGCAAGCTGGTAGTTTCTGTTGCCAACTAAACTGTTGAAGTGTCATTAGCTGTTAATGTCAAAGATTTATTTCTGTTTGCAGTGCTGGATATTTCTACTTTACAATAACTTGGTGCCGTTTTATATTTTTCCTGTGTGTGCTTATCTTCAAACACAGCGCCATCTACTACCTTATAATAATTAATGCAGTATAGTCAAATACAAAATGTAATGTCACATTAAAGTCTTCGCCAGTGCCGTATGGATTAATTTCTTATTTAATGCAATTGTGATTTTCAACCCCTTGTGAATGTAACAAACCCGTTACAACCCTCCTCCGTTTTCTTCTCGTTTTCGAGCTTCCTTCGTAGTACTATGAAATATTTTGGATTTATTAGGTTTTCTGTGTGCAATGGTATGCGGTCCAAATACCACCCAACAGACACCTACTAGCTAGTCCAAATTACATCATTATTTTCTTTTTTTTAAATTTATCTCAGGTGCAACCACCTCTATTCGTACATTCTATATCGTTGTACCCCACCATTGCTCGCTATTCCCACGGCCAGCGCCTGAACTCCATACACCTGCATTCATTATCTTGTACGTGGCGTTGTTAGTAAACAAGGCCAATTAATTTCTTTTAGGCCAATTAATTAATAAAACTTTTACCTTCCGTCGAAATGTTCCCTTGTGCGTTTTAATAGTTATTTACATAAAAGTCAGGAAAATGACCCATTACTGGCGAGGAAATATTGAAGTGCGAGGCCCCTTGGGGCCGAGTACTTTAATTTCCGAGTCAAGTAATGTCATTTTACTGACGAGTTTTGTATTAAATTTTACCAGAAATCGTATTTTAGTAAAACATTTCAATTTCTATATAAAACTTTTGATTAATGTCAATCTGTCAGTGATGACAGGAGTCATTATAGACATTACAAATGTCACAAATGCGGGCGGTAAAGTGAGGGCGCGGCCGGAAAGTGATGCGGCAGGAAACGTAGTCTGTTCTGCCTCTGTCATGGAAACTCAAATTTCCTGACAGAAAGTGGGCATGAAAATGAAGGTTTTAGGACGATTTGGGGTAAAATTTATGATACTATAGTACAATTAATACCATTAAAAGATTTAAACAATAATGAAATTACAATTGTGTGAAAATGTGCATAGCATCATTAAATGGGTCATAAGAATATTTTATATAAATCATTTTTTGATATTCCCGCTAGTTTCCCCAATAATCGATTGTATCGAGGTAAATATAAAAATTACCGAAGTGGTCTTTCCAACTCACAAAAGGAATGACCGCTACATCAGCTTATTAAATCATCATAGAATGCTTGGGTTTGAAGCATTAGCTTTGTGTTACAATTTTTTGCATGCAGATTATCTTTCAGCACCCTCGATACATCGCACAAAAACGCGCTTAAGCAGCTCGACGCATCGAATACTTTCCAACTTGTTTTATTATACCTTCTCTCGTAAATACCTTGGGCCGAGAACCACGTTGTTGCGACTTCACGCGCGTTTTTTTTTACTTTTGTTTGTGTTTCTTACTAGTAATTCATTTATTGTCTACAGTTGCTTCCTGTAGTACTCGTATTTGAATGGGTCGAAAGCTTCGCTACTTAATAAAAAATGTAGATTATTTGAAAAAAAAAACGATTTTATGACGTCACGGCGCTAAAAACTCATATACTAAAAAAAGAGTTCGGAAAAAATTTTTATTCCTTAAAGGTTGCTTAAAATAATATCAAATTTAGAAATTTGATGAAATTTTAACATCCAAAAAACGGTGATTCCAATGGCCACCTAGCTCGAGCTAGGAATCTAAAAATTGCAGTAAACTTCGAGCGATGACATAAATTGAACCTAAACCAACGCTAGCCCGCACTTTACTGTAACATCTTAACCTTATCCTTTACATTAGAAAAAACACCATTAAATAAGCTTATAAATTTTTTACTCCAAGCTTTCAATTAAGATTCATGAATTAAAAATTCCTTAATTTTTTATTGTACGATTTACGTAAAATTCTATTATAATATAAATTCTTTCTGCTAGACTACTACCTTAATCGCTGTCCGTTTATTAAAAAAAATTTTACAATTCTAATTAGAGCTATTGATGGTTCTCACAAAGTTCTACAGTCATTGAAAAATGTCAGAAAGAGTTTTTTGTCAACTTTAGGCAGCCCCCTTTGTGCAAAAAGTGAACTTTTTGAATCTTATAACGAATGCTCACGTAACTTGCGCCATCATACAACAATTGTCCTATTATAAGGATAATTGCAGAACTTTTACTTATTATACAAAACTTTTGTTCCTTTGAGGGAGTATCTTACGGAGCCCCTACCCTCCATAAGGAAATTTATTTGTATTTCTCAATTTGAAAAGCGAAAATCTTCCTTAGTTTTCTTATTACTTATAAGTTCTTAACCAGAACTAAAATTGTTGCACAAACTCAAAACTGTAAACTGCTACCAAAAAATGGTCACAAATGTATTCTCATATTTCTTAGTGCTAGGTAATACCACAAAACTCAGTTAGAACTTTTCACAAAAATGTGGTTTCTATTTCTCAGCGCCAAAAGTAGAAAACCTCGTTAGTTAACTTAGCACCCCATCATCAAATTCTTTGGAAAGCCGTTGCTACTGGTGCGGGACCCTTAATAAAGTTTGGACCAGATTCGAGTTTTGGGTAACCGCCACGACCTGTGTTTGTGTTTAGAACGTAAAATATAACAGCGCGAGTTCCAGCCAAAGAGATGGAAGTCTGACGGGATTGAAAACCATTAGAAAAAATTTAATAAGGAACATTGATCTTCCCTAATTCATACGCACTGAAGAAGGAGTGTATCCCACTCAATTCTGTATTCAGCCGTCGTATATTAACTATTTTTCTTTCATTTATAGAAAATCAAAAGTAATTTTAAATTTCATTTAGATTTAAAAGTTAATTAAGAAATTTGTTAGTTTAAAAATTCTTAAAGAGCTCACCCTATATGCATTTAAAGCCGTTCTGTCTTGCATGTATTTGTTCGTTTGTTAATGAACCCGCAACCGCACGACATATACAACTCTTAAATTTACTATTACCAAAGAGTAACTAATAATATTCTTTGCTATTACCAAAATGTGCATGAAGGTTGTCTAATTCTATTCTTTACACTATGCTTCATCCACGAGGTACCCTAAATGCACTGATACGCCATACGTTTTTCCACGAATAAGGATCATATTTATTTACTTACCTTTCTTCCTACAATCGATTTGGTGGAGGCTAAAGAAGGGAAAGGGACGAAGTTAATTACTAACCATTAACCTATTAAAGCAAGGGATCTTTCAAATTTAATGTATATTTATTTGCCAGAAATATTTTTGCAGTTAAAGACGTAGAATTCATATAATTAATTATTGACATAAACTTTTACTATTGCATATTATACCTAACTGTTTCTTTCGGTGTTCAATTAGTTATCAATTTTTTCCCAACTCATTAGGCTCCTAAAAAGAGGCAATTAGTCGTTTTTGTAATTGAGCTCTCTTTTTGAAAAAATGCAATTCGTCGTTTATGTCGTTGAGCTCTTTTTTTGATATTTCTTGGATCAAACAACAAGAGACAAGGTAAGCCGTCTCGATCACAGTTTCTCCTTTTATCCTTGAACACTTATTGATATAGTCGCAGTTATGTCCGTGATTCTCGCAGTATCTTCTCAAACCTGTCAGATCTACGTGATTCGTGTCATCTAGGAAGCGCTGTGCGAACATGACACACTTAAAGAACAACTTCAGCTTCGGATCATCAATAATGTTGTTTTCGTAGGCGTTTTCGACGACAGACGGGTGAACTCCCGATTCATTTATGCACTCCACTTTAATATTCCTTTTTTTCTGAAATAATGGATGCGTTACTAAGAAGCGTAGTGCTTGAACACTCACCTCTTCTTCACCAGATGAAAGCGCGAGTAGATATGCGAGTATGATCAGCTTCATCTTGAGTGGGTCCGACTAACTACTCTTTGCTCTCTTTATATGGACACCACGAAAACGTCATAGTATTGTGATGAAGCATACTGCACATGCATATTATCCCTATTTTTTTATTTGCACCATAAATGCCCATTATTACAATGGCTCTACCAGATTAGTATCATTAAAAGCTCATCAACTGGGAATAATTGCAGTCGTGTCAACTGCATTGACCATCCGATCCGAACAGAATATTCTTCTACCTAATTCAAATTTAACTCCAACTGCGTTTTAAAGTAATGACCTCGGAGATTGAATAAAGTTTTTGTGAAGATCCTCAAAGTTCAATTGAAACCTGGTAAAGCGTGGCTAATTGCCATTGCTACCCAAACTATTCAACCGTAAATCGCATTATGCAAGCCTGTATATAAACCATAATTCCAGGTGGAGATGTAAACGCCAAGATGAAAACTTTCACAGTGTTGGTCTGTATCGTAGCAGCTGTAGCAGCATCTCGCGATGTAAGTACTCACTGCTTGAACTCAATGCTTATTTTTGAAATGTTAGAAAAGCGGGCACAGTTTCAATGAACAATGCGAAAAAGTTTCCGGTGTCGATCCCGCACTCCTCGCTGATGCTTTTAGCAACGGGAAATTTCCAGATGATTCAAAGTTGAAGGCGTACTTTAAATGCGTCTTGATAGGATACGGTATTCTAAATGAGGCTGGTGAAGTTAACGGCGCACTCATGAAGAAAACTTGCGAAATGTTTCTTTCTGAAGATGATTGTTCGTTTGCAGAGACCTGTGCCAAGGAAAAGGGCAGCAGTCTTGACGATACCGCCCTGCTTATAGTTAGCTGTGTAATGAAGGGCAAAAATTAATGAAAGCTATCTTCGCCTTGAATTGTAAATAAATAATCCTGATCATGTTTTCTTAGCGTTTTTGAGGGTTCATAATAGCACATCCATCCCACCCAAGGAATATGAAAAAGAAGATCGGATTCAATCCCTTTATTGAAACATCTACACAAAAACCTTGAGCTTGTGCGTTCATGGCATCGGTTACAAGACCAAATTATATGTCCTTGCCCAGACAAATGGGGGGTTGTCCTAATGAAACTGAATTTTACTAAGTAAGCTGTCTTGAGTCAGAAATTGACATCATACTGCCGTTGTAAAAGAAAAGGAATACCCCTCATAAAGCCGTCCGAACCTGAAACAAACTCTCGACATCTCGTCGCCTCAACATCCTGAAATAATTATGAAACAAAAGGGCTATAGAAAACAAGCATGATATGTAAAGTAATACCTAAACTTTCAAAAATCCCAACTTTACCTAGGTATCTCTATAAAACTCAAAAAGTATATCAAAAGTAACAGCTATCGTTACAATGTTAGTCTCAAGCAGAGCTGGGCAGTATTCGATTTTGTAAATACTTTTTAGTATTCAAATCATTTAAAGTATTCAAATACTTTGTAATTAAATACTTTTATGGAAGCAGTATTTGTATTTGTAACTCAAATACTTTCACAAATGTTTAGTATTCGAATACTTCGCAAGGTATTTGAATACTTTGAGAAGTATTCGAATACTTCGCAAAGTATTTGGATACTTCGTAAAGTATTCGAAAACTTCGCAAGGTAAGTATTTGAATACTTTGATTTTCCAAATTCTCGGGAAAACACTTTTTCTTATTAATTTTGGTGCGTAGAATCCAAAACAGTTCGTACTTTTTCGATCAGACTTCTCAATCAAAAGTTATAGACTAGAAACCAATTTCGAAAGAAAATTCAAAGGGCTGTAACTTTTGAACTAGTAGCCCAATCTTGGAACTGTTTGAAAATATGGATTCTACAGGCCACATTCTATAAGAAAATTTTTTTTCCGGGTCGATCTGAGACAATTTTTTTTTCGGGCCTCAAAAAAAGGCAGTGTATAACCTTCCTTTTTTACCAAAAATCGACTACACCAAAATTTCACGGGAAAACACTTTTTCTTATTAATTTGGGTGCGTAGAATCCAAATCAATTCGTACTTTTTCGATCAGACTTCTCAATCAAAATTTATAGACTAGAAACCAATTTCGAAAAAAAATTCAAAGGGCTGTAACTTTTGAACTATGAATATAGCCCAATGCTTGGAACTTGTTGAAATTATGGATTCTGCAAGGCACATTCTATAAAGAAATTTTGTTGCCGGGTCGATCTGGAGACAATTTTTTTTGAGGGCCTCAAAAAAGGCAGTGTATTACCTTCTTTTTTACCCAAAAATCGACTACACCAAAATTTCTCGAGAAAACACTTTCTCTTCATTAATTTTGGTGGCGTAGAATCCAAAACAATTCGTACTTTTCGATCAGACTTCTCATCAAATGTTATAGACTAGAACCAATTTCTAAAGAAATTCAAAGGGCTGTTAACTTTTGAACTAGTAGCCCAATCTGGAACTATTTGAATTATGGATTCTAACAGGCTACATTCTATAGAGAAAATTTTTTTCCGGGTCGATCTGAGACAAATTTTTTTTCGGGGCCAAAAAGAGGCAGTGTATAGCTTCTTTTTTAACAAAATTCTAACTGCACCAAAATTTCACGGAAAAAAATTTTTCTTTTATAAGTTTTGGTGCGTAGAATCCAAAACATTGTACCTTTTTCGATGCAGACTTCTCAATCAAAAGTTATATGACTAGAAACCATTCGAATGAAAATTCAAAGGGCTGTAAACTTTTGAACTAGTAGCCAAGTCTTGGAATTGTTGAAATTATGGATTCCTGCAGGCCGACATCTAAAGAAATTTTGTTTCCGGGTTCGATTGAAGACACATTTTTTGCGGGCCTCAAAAAAAGGCATGTATTACCTTCCTTTTTTTACCAAAAAATGCTACACCAAAAATTTCTCGAGAGAAGACACTTTCTCTTATAAATTTTGGTTTTGGCTCAATTCATAAGAAATTTTTCCGGGTCGATCTGAGACAATTTTTTTTTCGGGGGCTCAAAAAGAGGCAGTTGTATTAGCTTCTTTTTTAACAAAATGTCTAGCTGCACCAAAATTTCATCGGAAAACACTTTTTTCTTTTAATTTTGGTGGCGTAGAATCCAAAACAATTCGTACTTTTTCGATCAGACTTCTCAACATCAAAAGTTTAATAGACTAGAAACGCAATTTCAATGAAAATCAGAGAGGGCTTAACTTTTGAAGCTAGTGCCGCAATCTTGGAACTTGTTGAAATTTGGATTCTGCAGGCCACATTTCCTATAAGAAGAGTTTTGTTGCCTGGGTCGGATCTGAGACAATGTTGTTTTTGAGGGCCTCAAAAAAAGGGCAGTGTATTACCTTTTCCTTTTTTACCAAAAAATCGACTACACCAAAATTTCTCGAGAAACACTTTCTCTTATTAATTTTGGTGCGTAGAATCCAAAACAATTCGTACTTTTTCGATCAGACTTCTCAATCAAAAGTTAATAGCTAGAAATCCAATTTCGAAAAGAAAATTCAAAGGGCTGTAACTTTTGAACTAGTAGCCCAATCTTGAACTTGTTGAAATTATGGGATTCTGAGGTCACATTCTATAAGAAATTTTTTTTCCGGTCGATCTGAGACATTTTTTTTTGCGGGCCTCAAAAAAAGGGCAGTGTATAACCTTCCTTTTTTACAAAAATTACTACAACCAAAATTTCTCGGGAAAACACTTTTTCTATAATTTTGGTGCGTAGAATCCAAAAACAATTCGTCTTTTTTCGATGAGACTTCTCAATCAAAAAGTTAAAGACTAGAAACAATTTCGAATGAAAATTCAAAGGGCTGTAACTTTTGAACTAGTAGCCACATCTTGGAACTTTTGAAATTATGGATTCTCCAGGCCACAACTTCTATAGAAATTTTTTTTC